CGCGCGTTGGACGCGGCGGCGCTGATTGGGGGGGGGTGCCGCCCCTCGGAGGTCGCGCGAGGGGTGGAGGTGTGGATTCGCAGCCTCGTCGGCGCCCCGGCCCGCGCACGGCCGATCGCCATTTTCCTGCAGCGCTACGAAGGCCTCGCCCACGCGCTGCGGTATTCCGTGAATGCGATGATGGGGAGCGGGGGAGGGCGAGGGGGGCCGCGGCGGGGTCGATATGCCGCCCTGCCGCCTTTAAGCAACGGCTCGTTCATGTCGGGCAGCTTCTCCAGTCGACGCGGCCCCGACGCGACGACGATTACGATCACCACCACGGCAGGAGGCGGAGGAGGAGGAGGAGGGGGGGGAATGGCGAGCAAAGCGGTAGCTTCTCCGCTCCTCAAAACGGGCGCCGCCGGGGAGCCCGGGGAGGCTGTCAAACCCTCGATGAGTTACTTCCTCAACCACCCCACCGGGGGCGCGGCGGCGGCGATCCATTACGGGCATTACACCGGCCCCCTCACCCCGACCATCGCGCCGGTCTTGCCGCCGGAGTTACAGGCGATGATCGAGACTTACCGCCCCCCCCTTGGGGCCCCTCCGCCTCTCGAAGATTGGAACGCGGCCGATCGCGAGCTGCGAAGCCTCCGCGCCGATCTCGACGAGGTCCAGCTGCTCGTCAGCTGCGCGACGGTGGAGTTGCAGGAGCGGCTGCGGGAGTACCTCACCGTGGGCGCGCTCTTCCTCCCTCACACCCGCGCTGATCAGCTCGAGCCGAGCCTGCTTTTCCTGAAGGCGTTGCGGGAGCTGCCGGCCGCGGAGGTGCCGATCCGGGAGCTCCACACCGATTGGCTCCCTTGCCTGCTCGCGTTGCTGACTGGAGGGGGGCCGGAGAGGGGGGAGGAGGGGTCCGTGCGAGAGCGAGGGGGGCTCCTCTCGGGTGTCGATTTCGGGGAGGTGAACGACGTGTGCGATTTAAACCGACGGCGCGGCCCCGCTTTCCCCGATGTCGCCGACCCCGAGGTAACGCGGTATGTCGTGGAGGAGGAGGCGATGCGCGCGATCGGGTGGGATCCCGACGCAGGGGACGAAGAGGGAAGAGGAAAGGGGTGGGGCTGCCCGCATGGCGCGCCCGCCATCCCTCGGGAGTTTCTCCGCGAGGTCGTCATCGCGCCGTTGGCGTACCGCCTGTCGCCCTCGATGGTGCGGATGTTGGAGCGGCCTGGGGTGGATAGCGGGCTCTCCTTCTGCTTCACCGGCGGCTCGCTTGGGGTGTTGGCGGGGGTGCTGCGCTACTACAGCTGGTTTCTGAGGACGTCTTTTCGGCAGGAGGTGGAGGCGATACGGCTCCGTGGCGGTGGAGCGGAGCACGAAGGAGGAGGCGGAGGAGCAATTTCAGAAGGGGAGGAGAGTGGGCTGGGTATGATGGAGCGCAGGGGTTATGTGATTCTCCGTCGGATATCCATCTGGGGGGCGGTGGAAGGCAAAGGGGCTTTCAAGAACCTGGAAGAGGTGCAGGAGATGCATAAAAAGTATGCGAGTATGGAGTACAATGCCAAGTTCGGAACCGGGGATGGTTCCCATCATTCCGACTCCAACAGCCTGAACGGTGGCGGTGATAGCGATCTCGACTCCTGCTCCAACCTCGAGACGCAGATCACCGAGATCGAGATGGGGGAACTGGTGGATTTGATGGACCTCCACGCCACTCGGCTTGGAATTCCATTTCGGAGCGTGGAGTGCTTCGCGCTCTTCGAGGCCGCCGCGCATCACCTGCGGGTTCTCGATAACCTTCAGGCCGAATACCGTCAGCTGCAGCAAGGCCAGCCGGGGCGCTCGTTGAACTCCTCCACTACTATCAAATCGATGGCCACGTCGGGTTCTTCCTTCCAAAGCATGGGGACCCCTGGCGGCTTCGCCGCCTCCCACAAAACCGCGGCCCTCAATTTGGAGGGGGACGAGGAGCGGAGAAGAAGAACAGCCGCCGCCGAAACCTTCGAGATCTGCGTGCTAACCAACCACTACGAGAAGGAGGGAGGGGAGCGATGCGCGGGGAAACCACTAGACACCTCATGCACCGTGTTTTACCCTCGTAACACGGCCTCTCTCGCGCCGCCGCCGGATGTTTCATACGCGGATGTCGATCTGAAGCAAAGGCTCAAAGCCTGGTGTCGTGGGTGCTGCGGCAACGGCGAGGAGGGGCCTAGAGGCAGGAGAAGAACCTCCCGTAGCCCCAACATCTTTTGGGGTCGATCTAAAAATTCTAAAAAGACGAGCCAACGCAGCGACCACTACTTCAAGATGGCTCCCGTCTCAAAAGGGATTTTCACAAAAGGGGAGAAGCGAAGCAGCGGGAAGCCGCTCTACAAAACCACCGCCTCGCCTGTTCAGCGCGAGAGTTGCGCGTTGAAAGGCACCGAGGCGTTTTACTTCGGTGGTGAGGAAAAACGCGCGCAGGTGACGTCGCTCAAGTTATGGCGTAAAGAATCGCGTCGACTCTTTGAATTTATGGCGGACTGCCTCGAGCGGTGCTACGCGCGGCGGGTGAGAACAAAGGATTCGTTAGCGCCCTATCTTCAGCGAGTCCGCATTTCCGTGATCTCCGAAAGAAAGCTTTGAGGCAAATGTGAGGAGGGGGGGCGGGAAGGAAGGCTCCAGATTTTTCACAGAATAAAAGCGCTGTGCGTGGAAAAGCAGTTGGTTGGATGAATTTAGGGTAATATGTTTTTTCCCCTTTTCTTCGGTTACCTAGTCTTGAGAGGGAAAATATACAGACCCTTGATATGGCTTTTCTAGGAACACGTGTTTGTAAAGAAAGGAGGGGTAGATCAGAATCAAAACTATATATTCAAGCAAAAGAAGTAAAACCTCTGTGTGTCTCCCCTCTTCCAGGGTGAAATGAGAATGAAAGAGAGAGGGTTTCATTACCTTAGAAGAGATGTTCTTACGTGATAGCGATGGTTTTTATTTGTTGTTTTTGTAGATTGAATCGTCGATCTTGCCAAATAATGAAGCCGTATAAAAATACATTAACGAGGGAATGTACTTCATCTGTGAGTCGATGCGTGCGCTCATTGCGTACTTTTCGGCGTTGTGTGGTCGTCTTCCAGTAGTCTACTTCTTCCAACCTCTCTCTTCTTTTGTGTGTGTGTGTGTGTGTGTGTGTGTGTGCGTGTTTTGTTTCGTGTGTGGTGGAATGGCCGCTCTTGCGGGGTTGTGAAAATGGGGGTCATTTGAGGAACGCCGTAAAGGTACACCGTTGTAGGAAAAAAAAAGGATAAAGACACCCCTGTAGTAGGAGGCGGAGGAAGGGGGGGAGGGAAATTTATAGAAAGTATCGAAATGGCATTAGGCCGGAGGGGATCTGTGGTGCATGCGGCTCGCACGTCCAGCCGTGGGGGTCTTCGCGATCCCCTTTCCCGCGGTGGTCGATGGGAAGGAAAGGGCGAGGCCCCCTTTTTCGAGCAAAGGCGCTTTTCCTTCAATTACGCCCGCCGATCCTCGATGGATGAGATGCGGCAGCCCTTTTACATCCACGAAAAGCGCTACGGCCTCTTCAGCAATGAGCATAACGTGGGGAAGGCGCGGCGGGGGTTGCCTTTTATCACCCCCCTCTTTACGAAACACATGAACCTCTGGGAGACGGATACCGACGCGAGCACGAATCGCTTCTTCCGCAGCTACGTCTTTGGGCAGCGGGAGCTCTCCCAGCTCCTGGGGCGGCCGCACGGCTTCGAGGCCGACGACAGCGGGGGCCGCCAGGGCCTTTCCGCGTACGAACTTCGCACGGACCTCCGCTACCGCGGCGTCCCGCGCGCGGCGATGACGGATTCGCACGTTGAGCCCGTGTGGAACGCGCCGCTTTACCGCCCGCGCGCGAACGGGAGCGCGCTGGCGGATCCAGGGAGCCCCTTCACCGCGGCGGTTCTCGGCCCCGAGCTGCTCGCGGTGCGGGATATCAAAACCCTGACGGACTGTCAGGCGTGGTTCGCGCGGCTGGAGCACCTCATCCGTCGGCATTACGACGCCGTTGGCGACCTCGACGCCTTTCGCTCGCGGCAAACGCGCCACGTCCACGCCTTCTTCGTCGCCTTCGAGGACGCGCTGAGTGGGTTTGAGTTTCAGGATCGCTACCTCGCCACGGCGCTCGCGCGGGCGCGGCCGGCCGGCCTGGAGGACCTCTTCGGCATCTTCCTCGAGATGGAGGGGAACACGATCGCGGAGGGGTATTGCCCGCGGTGCAGCCTCCCGTACGCGACGACGCGGTATTGCGGGGAGGGGGACCCGGAGACGCCCTTTCGGCGGCATCGCGGCCGCTGGGCGCCGCACCCGCGGTGGGGGGAGGAGTGGTACGCCGTGGTCGTCCGCCGCGCCGAGGCGCTTTGGGATCGCGCGACGGAGGACCCCTTCTTCGGGACCCCCCACCACACCCAACGCCAGGCCGAGGCCCTCTTCCGCGTCTACGTCAAGGCGAGGCGGCGGGCGAAGGCGGTGGACTTCGTGAACGCCCTGCGCGGCTCCAAGGAGTTCCTCCTCGGCGAGATTCAGCTCTCCCGGGTGATCCAGGACGGGCTGGACGACCTCCTCGACCACACCCCCCATCCGCACCTCCTGACGAACGCCTTCCGGGTCGATCACCGCGCGGCGGTCTACACCGGGGAGACGAACACGGCCCCGCAGTCCCCGCTGCAGGTGCGGCTCGATCTCGAGATCAATAAATACCGCCGGCAGCAAAAGGAGGAAGGGGTGGTGCGGGTGCCGCCGGCGCTGTGGCGGTTGGATACCCGCGCGATCGTCCCGTATAAACTCGACGCCAACAAGCAGATCACGAACTGGCGGGAGGTCAAAGAGGGCATCGAGACCTCCTTCCTCGCCACCGGCCTCCCCAAGGCCGCCTACACCCCGCAGGAATGGCGGGAGATGCTCTACTGGGAGGATTACCTCGCCGGGCGAACCCAGCGCCGCGCCGCCCTCGAGGCGGAGCGCCGCCACGACGCGCGCCTCGCCGGCGAATCGCCCTCCCCGAGGCCTTTTATCGTCTTCCCGGATCGCCATTGGTATCGCGTGTTCGATACCTCGCCGGAGGCGCTTGGGAAGTTCGGGTTCGACGAGCCCGGGGTCGTCTTTACCGCGGCCACGCGCACCTTCGAGGCGGCCACGGCGGTCGCCCTCACCGATCCCGTCTCCGGCGCCGCCCTTCGGCTGAACACGACCTTCGAGGCCTCGCGGTGGTTTGGCGATTTTGAGTACGGCGACGTCGTCGAGGTGGACGAACGAAAGGGCGAAGAAGGGGAGGAACCAACGGCGAGCGCGAGGGCGGTCGTCGTCGTGGTCGGGGTGGATACAAGCGACGCCGCCGGGGAGGAGATGTTGTACGCGATGCACGTCGATCGCGCGAGGCACGCCCGGAACGGGCTGTTGGCGCTCGGAAAAGACTGCCTCGACATCCGGCAACGCTTTGCGCGGGTGCGAAACACCCATCGCAAGCGTCTGATTCCCCTTCTCGACGGGGAAGGCGGTGGCGGCGGCGGGGTGGGGATGCGGACGATGCCGGAGGAATCCCTCGGGCAGGTGGTTGGGGTGCGAGACGGGGAGTTGTACGTGCAGTGGCGGCTTTTAAAAGGCGGGGCGAGTCGAATGGACCGGGATGTGGCGGTCAGCCTCGGCCCCCCGGAGCGGGTTCGCGCGTTGTATCGGTTTCAGCCCCGTGAAGGAGAGGGGGGGGGGAGGCGTTGGTGGAGCCGCCGTCGTGGCGGACGCCCTTCCGCAACGACTTCGCCGAGGAGCGGCTGGCGGCGCTCCGGCGCGGCCCCTTCGCGCGCGAGCAATGGGCCTCCCTCATCGCGGGCAAATACACCCCCAAGGTGAAGCGCTTCGGCTACGCGCCGCACACGACGCAGGGGGATTTTGAAACGAAGGAGTACCGCGACCGCCTCCTCGCGCGGCAGTTTTTCCACCACCCACAGGCCTTCGCGGTGATCCCGGAGCGCCGGGAGCGCTCCGTGCGGTTCGCCGGGAAGTGGGAGTCCCACCGCACCCACGGCCTCCCCACCGTCGACCGCGCGGAGTTGGAGGGCGGGTGGGGGGAGCAGGAGCCGATCCCC